TCATAATAAAATTAATGTTCCATAAATTAGCACCGTCAAATAAACTTTAAATTACGGTTTTTAAAATAATTAGTGAATAAACACCCATTAAAAAAAAAGGTGGTACTTATTTTCTGAGTTTAACGGAAATTATAATATAAAGTTAAATTGCACTCCCAACATTTTTTATTATTGCTCCAAGAGCGGTTTAAACCTCCTTTTTTGTTTTTTTTTCACCCAAATAAGAAATGTGAAAAAAAAAAAAATAGGTCGGTAATTAATTTATGTCATAGGTGTCATGGTAAAAATCGTATAATTTTACAGCTTAAAAAATTATTGAGAAAAATTACACATCCAAATATTGTTAAGATCTATGGAGTAACCAAAGGCATGTATTTCTATTTACAATTTATCAATTAGTTATCTGTCTGGGAGCTTGTGAACAGATATAGTAAATAGCGGAGATAAGCTTATATATATATTTTTTCAAAGTTAAATAATTTTTCAATTAAATAAATCTTTTTTATACTTTAATTAAATTTTGGAGTCGGTCATAATGATAGTACTAAATTTGAATAATGGATAGCAAGGTATTAGTACTTTAATCTGTGATCGTATATTTTTTGCAACGATGAAAGGGGAATACTGTATTAAAATACTAACATCTTGCAATCCACAGTTTGATTTTATATTTTAACTATCATTATGACTGGATTGACTTCCTCTAATTATAAGGCTTACTTGGAAAAATTATTTACCTTTAAAAATAATTTTTTAGACATTTTACTATGCTTATTCCTGGCTTCTAGGCAATTTATTTACTAAATATAATTCTGATTATTAATTCATGCTTAATTATAGATTCTTCCAGTAGTAATTACATTCTAGTTTTGCAATTAGCAAATAATGGCAATCTGAGAGAGTACCTTAAAGAAAATTTTTCGAGACTAAAATGGGATATGAAGATACGTATTGCACTTGAAATAATTAATGGACTCGAATTCTTACATTCTCAAGACATCATTCATCGTGATCTTGTAATATTATTAATAATCCATTTTTGATTTAAAAAAAGACTTGCTCTAAAGTAATTAAATTTTGTTAATTTATAGCATTCGGAAAACATATTGGTTAGCGATGGACAGATGAAGATTGCGGACTTTGATTTAAATATACAAAATAGCGAGCTTTCAAGAAATCCGAGTGGAATGCTAGGTTACATTGAGCCTAAATGCTTTGTTAATGACTCATATAGACGTAACAAAAAATCCGATATTTATAGTTTTGGGATGATCCTTTGGGAAATTTCAAGTGGCAGACAGCCACTCGATTCTTTTTCTAGAGATCAGATTGTCCTTTACATATGTGAAGGCGGAAGGGAGATACCCAAGAGAGAAACACCTCCTCAATATGTTAAACTCTACAAACAATGTTGGGATGAAATTCCAGAAAATCGTCCAGATGCAAAGTCTGTAATGGAAGAATTAAATCAGATTGACCCCATGCAATGCAGTGAAACTGAAGGTATGTGCTTGAAAATAATTCATTACTTGCCCTTTTCTAAACAGTTCGGTAAAACTCAATGAAATAATTTATTTTATTTAGAATTGAATACTGCTGTAGATTTAAACCTAGAATCAAGGACAGCTTTTGAAATATTGACCATTTATTATCCTATAATTTGTAATATAAAATTTACGGCTGAAGAAATTTATAATATTTGCAAGAATGCAGAATGTAATCAACAAGTTTGCCTGTTTCTGGCTAAACGAGTAAAGGGAGCAGAAGAATTCATAAGCAAAGTTATAAAAGACATAGGAAAGAACGAGGAAAAATTTCGTAATAAAGAATGCTTTTTGGCTTTTAAACATTATGAAATTATTTTAAAAAATATTGAAGAGTTTACTGAGAAAGTATCGAAATATAAAGGTTTTATAAAATTTCTTAATGCAAGTGAAGTTAAGAAAAGATTCAAAAACTTGACAGAAGAATATGATAAGTGCATGAAGGATTTGCATTTTGTCACTATCGCCAGTGACCATGATAATAATGAAGAATCCCGTAAGGTCGAAGAATCTCTGGATGAAGTTGAAAAAGTAGGTAGATTTATTGTAAACATAAAGTTATTTTGATGATTTTTATATGATTAATATATGTGCATGTATATTTTATTTGCTCTAGACTCTTAAGAATGTTGATATTGGAGTAAAAGATTTTAGTCAAAAGCTTGATTCATTAGTTGAAAATGTTTATCTTATACAATCTCAAATAAACGATCAACCAAGTAATGTACAAGCACAAAGAATTGATCCAAAAGAACTTAGTAGTTCTTACGTTAAAACCGGAAATAATATAATTAAAAAGGTTTATAATACTATTGAAGTTGCATGCAAATTCATCAGAGATTTTAAAAATTCTGAAAGTGAATTAGCAATACTTGGAAAATTAAGTCAATCACCATATATTCTACGTTTCTATGGACTCACAAATTTTGATAACCGTGATTATATGGTTCTTGATTGGGCTGAATATGGAACTTTAAAAGATATTTATACCAAATATGATATTCCTTGGACTAGAAAAATAAAAATTATTCAAAATATCTGTCGTGGACTTGTATATTTACGTAGTGTAAACATTCTCCATCATGATCTTAGGTGCAAAAATGTTTTCGTAAGTAAATTTAGCTAAATTAAATGCAATATAATATGAAATATTAATTGCCAATAAATTAAATGGTAGATACGAGAGGACCTGGAACCGAGACTTGGGAATTTTAAAAGATAAAATTAATTTTGCATTATATATTTAAAAAGCCGATGTAACATATGTATTGCATGATTTACGTATCGCTGCTACGTATCATTTATTTAACTACGCACATGTAAAGTGGGAGTTACAAAATAAAGGTCATGCGATATCAACCAATA